GCTCGCATGTGTTTCTTTAGAACGAAAAATCGAAATTTATTTCAAGGAGAAAAAACGATTATTTCTAACCTTAGAGATGAAGTATGAAAGGATGAATTGTGAAGAGTAATAATAAACGGAAAAATAAAGTGTCCAGGGATGGGAATCGAACCCACAGTGTTCTGCTTACCGGGCCCATGTCCACTAGGCTACCATGGACATATTTTTACGTTTGTAAATATCATAAAGTAATTTATAATACAATATAATGCGGCTTATGATTGTACTAGCCGAATGACCCGGGCAACGCCCGTGTTCTACTCGATTGAATGTTTTTATTCAAATACTATTTGTTACAATTATAAATTGGCGCCTTAAATAAATGCATATATTAGTTAATAACTATAGCCTATGTGCTTTATCTGTCTATGTACTGTTGGCTTCCGTAGGCGTCTCATACTGGGAAAAAGAAAGAGAGGACTCCATTTGGTTATTAACTAATATATGCATTTATTTAAGGAGCGACCCGCTCCAACACAATAGTTACAAAAATGAAAAAGCGAGTGGGGGAGGCATGATGGGGGGGGGGTCAAAGGTGGCGTGATTGTAGCCAACCAATAGGAGGGCGCCATTCCAAAAAAAAAAAAAGCAAACGGTGACAGAGTTGATTAGGAGATGAAGAATGTAACTGTATATAGATTTATAAATATACAGTATAACCTTGTTAATTTGACATTTTTTCTATAGGATGCATTACCATGTCATCTCTTATGAGAAATTTGATATATTTTGACACATATGATTCTTTTTAAAATTAAATCAATTTTCTCTCTACTGCCTTTAATGCAATTAAATTATTTTAAAGAAAATTGATTTATTTTTAAAAGAATCATACGCGTAAAAAATAGTTCAAAATTTCTTATTATTTGACACTTGCGATAATTCAATACTTGCGATGGTTACCTGCGTCCTCTAGTCTATAAAGAGGGCGCCAAAAGCCTCACCTTGTGCACTAGGTGCAAAACCTAAGAGGCCACTCCCCAACATATACTAAATTGTATTGGAAAGGACAAAAGATCCCTGTACAGAGAACCAAGAAGAGTTCTTAAACTTCTTTATGAGAACGACCTCCAAAATCTTGTCTAATTTAGACTAATAAAAGGATAAGTTGATAAGGCACAATTTGGATTATAGATTATAAAACAAGGTAATAAGACCAAATCCAAATAAATAAATAGTGTGTGACGTTTCGGTAACAGCATTGTTACCATCTTCAGACAAAAGTACTGAATGTACTTTTGTACTTTACTCATTCAGTACTTTTGTCTGAAGATGGTAACAACGCTGTTACCGAAATGTCACACAATTTATTTATTTGGATTTGGTCTTATTACCTTGTTTTAAAACGATAAGTAAAAAAAAAAACTCTTGCGATAATTTGACCATTTTTTTATGCCCCAACCTAAATAGTAAATGTTAATTTGAACTAACGATGATGTGACACCAATAATTTTAAAATACAATTTTAACATTGGATAATCCTTGTTTAAATACAAATTTATTGGTGAAAATACTTGACACCTAGGGAACAGCAGCCATAGTTACTGTGCTTAGAAGTCTTAATTTGCATAAAAAATTTCAGCGCCAACAATGGATGATTTAGGTCTAACTTTAGTATCCACTAAATTACCCATGTAAACAAGTGTCTTAGAACCTTTTTCCTTTTAACCTTTTAAACACAAGGTAATAAGACCAAATCCAAATAAATAAATAGTGAGTGACATTTCGGTAACAGCGTTGTTACCATCTTCAGACAAAAGTACTGAATGAGAAATTTTACCACAGCATTTCTCATTCAGTACTTTTGTCTGAAGATGGTAACAACTCTGTTACCGAAACATCACAGACTATTTATTTATTTGGATTTGGTCTTAATACCTTGTATTTATAATCTATAATCCAAATTGTGCCTTAAACCTTTTCCTTATTTTCTGAATTTATTCGCTTTTTCTTCCCATTGCATTTATTTACTTCGATTAAAATAGTATTTGTAAAAAAAATGCTCCAATTGCCCCCTTCTTGCAAAAGTTCAACCCCACCAGTGAGTGCAAGTAATCAAACGGGGCACTGGCATATTTGTTAGTGTTAAAAGTCGAACTGCTTTTCACATGTGTAGACGTGTAAAAGTATGTAAACAGTAAAGGTAGTCGCTAACTGCCCACCATGATTATCATGGCCTGTGTGTACTATGGATAATAATAATTACAAAATAGTATTTGTAATTTATCCTTTGTTCAAAAATGTATTAATGCAATTTTATCCATCATTTAAAGGTAATCCTGAAACATATTCTGAAAAATTTCAATTAAAAGTCCCAATATGGTATCAAATTCACATTTTTAATTAGAATATATTACAAATGTGCAAAGTAATAAGACAAATCCAAATAAATAAATACTGTGTGACGTTTCAGTAACAGCGTTGTTACAATCATCAGACAAAAGTACTGAATGTGAACCACAGCATGTTTTAAATAGTTACTCTTATCAAGTGTGTAAACAAGATAGCAAATAAGAAGATAGTTTTCTAAGAATCCTAAAATATTATTTTTTGAATTGGAAGTGGAAAAAAAAACCTTTTTATTTTAAAAATATAATTAAAAGCATATCTATAAATACCATTGATATTTACTCTTTCTTCCATTCTGTTAATTGTAGCACATTTCTTTTGAATGAAAAAGGCTTCTTTAAATTGTCTCTTAAAATGATTTTTTTTCATAATATAGTATCTTTTTTTCTTTTAGATTGAACTGTAGATAACAACAAATCAATAAATTTTCTAAATATGAACTTAAAATACAATTATAACATTATTACAACCTCTATATACAAAAAACCAACACATACAGGAACTTATTGGAACTATAGCTCACAGCACCATTTCAGCCAAAAAGTAGGATTAGTAAAATCTATTATATATAGAACTTTTACACTCATTAATGATACAACTAAAAGAAAGATAGAAAGTAACAACATCAAAAAAGAACTAATCAATGAAGATTTTCCCATCAAATTGATAGAATAATAGAAGACATGAACCAAAAATATGAGAATAATACTTTAATTCAAAATCTAAAGTGCAAAAACAAAGAAGCCAAATTCATCACATTACCATTTATAATCCAAAATTTTGTAAGAAATTTTACTAATACAGTCAAATCTCCCTTTATCGGACATTCTACTAGCGGATACCTCTCTACAAAGAACAGTTTTCATTTACAAAATTACCATTTTTGCAATTTAGCAACTCTCCTGTAAGATGACACCTCTTCATAAAGGACACTTTTTTTCTGCAATTAGGTGCCCTTTACAGAGAGGTTTGACTGTATATTCAAAAAGTATGAAAAATAAAAATTGCATGTGGAAACCATGTAACCCTATTTCTCAATATACCAACAAACATAAGAACACCAAATTACCAAAAAGAGTTTGATTTATGAAGTGAAATGTGAAGTGTGATCAATGCTATGTTGGAAAACATCCATAACTTAAAAAGAAAAAATGAAAATCGTGAATATGCTCTAAAGACAAAATAATTTTATTGACATCAGATAACAGATGCATTATCTCTAATTCATTGCCACCGAAACGGTGGTCAACAGTCAAAACAAATTATTCCCATCGTCTCTATGGTGCCTTTCTTAAATAAATAATAACAGAATATTAATACAAAGCAATAATGTGCCATCTATATATAATGAATGAAGATATTAAGACGTGAATGTTTCTTTTCACAAATAAATCAAACTTCTACTGTCCTTACTACGATGAAAAAATATTGGGAGGGCTTAGCTCATCAGTGGTGAACCCTCCCAGCGGTTTCGCTAATTTAATCTACCAGACCGCTTCTTTAGAGTTCTAATACTGTATTGGATCATTCTGATTTTATATGTTACACTGAAAGATGGAATCTTAGAAATGGTAATTTGGAAAACTATGGACATGCGCTTTTAGGATAGTAGAATTACATTTAAATATTTACATAGAGCAATGCTCAGTAAAAGTTTGATTTATTTGTAAAAAGAAACATTCGTGTCTTAATGTCTTCATTCATTAATAACAGAATAAACAAAAACACAAGATCAAATAAATAAATAGTGTGTGATGTTTTGGTAAAACCATTGTTACCATCTTCAGACAAAAGTACTGATTTATACAGGATAACTGAATAGGATTCAGTACTTTTGTCTGAAGATGGTAACAACGCTCTCTGTTACCGAAACGTCATACACTTTTTATTTATTTGGATTTGGTCTTATTACCTTGTGTTTATAATCTACTAGACGAATGGCCCGGGCAACGCCCGGGTTTTACCCGAGTGCGTATATATTTTAAAAATGTTTTAATTCAAATACTATTCGTTACAATTATAAATTGGCGCCATGGATGTCACTCTTGTGAAACGTCCCGTTCCAAACTGTGTGTTTTAAAATGTTTTAATTAAAATACCTATTTAATGAATATCATATTTTATTCTTATAAAGGTACTTATATATAATGACCCAGGCAACGCCCGGGTTTTACCCGATTAAATGCTTTTATTCAAATACTATTCGTTACAATTATAAATTGGCGCCGTGGATGTCATTCTTGTATAATATATAAATGAGTTTTAAAAATTGTAAAAAAAAAAAAAATGCATCGGCCGGGAATCGAACCCGGGCCGCCCGCGTGGCAGGCGAGCATTGTACCACTGAACTACCGATGGTTATGAAAATTCCCATCCGTGAGCTTCAGACAAACAAACAGACAGAATAAGGCAAATATATAAGTAGATTTACTCTTCATTGTTGGCTTTTTATCTTACATTTATTCTTCATTGTTGGCTTTTTATATTACATTTACTCTTCATTGTTGGCTTTTTATCTTACATTCATTCTTCATTGTTGGCTTTTTATATCATATTTACTCTTCATTGTTGGCTTTTTATCTTACATTCATTCTTCATTTTTGGCTTTTTATATTATATTTACTCTTCATTGTTGGCTTTTTATCTTACATTTATTCTTCATTGTTGGCTTTTTATATTATATTTACTCTTCATTGTTGGCTTTTTATCTTACATTTATTCTTCATTGTTGGCTTTTTATATTACATTTACTCTTTATTGTTGGCTTTTATCTTACATTCATTCTTCATTGTTGGCTTTTTATATCATATT